CGCGGCTGAAGCACACCAGCAGATAAATCCTCTCCTTCCCCCTCCCCAGCGCTAAGGGTGACAGTCTGATTTTCAACTCGGCATGGCAGAAAGCGTAGTTCAAGGTCAGCAAAGCCCCAGAGCACGCAGATGTGAAGGTTTGAGCGAGCTGCCTGCAGGCCCTCCGCAGGCCCGCTACAGGCCTGGCAGGCTGCGAGGAGGGCAGGGGGAAGAGCCCCTACCATCATGCAGCTCCCTTAGCAGAGAGCAAAGCAAAATGAAACCAGACCTGTTGTAAGGTGAAAGTGATGTAGTTCAGCCATCAGAACATCACATCAAATAAACTCTGAGGTTAGGACAAATCATGAAATAATTTTAGCTAGTCTCCTATATAATATTGCAGGCCATGAAATTTCATTCAGGCCAGAGAACACCGTCATTACCAATTCTGGGCCTCATAATTTGATGGGATTGCAAACAAGCTTCCTCAAAGTAATTCCCTATGAAGAACAGTTGCCTCCAACAGCTCTAAACATCCTCTGATTTTGTTTATACCATCTTACGTCTACTAATTTTGAGCTGTGCCTCTCCCATAAACGACCCCACACACCAGTCACTGGAGAAACCAACCAGCAGCCACCAAGCAGATTCCAAGGTGTAAACACGTTGTGGTCAGCCAAAGCCTGAGGCAGCGTGACAGTGGCACAAGCACACATGGAGGGCTGCCGCTGCTATCCCAAAGATATTCTGCCAGAAACACGTGCAATAACCTCCCAAAGCTGATGGCACAATCCCTGCTGGAATTTCTTGACATACAAAACATAGAGGTGGGTGTATCAGTGCAAGGAGCAGGTGAGCTGTTTGACTTAGGGGCAAAAGAAGTCCCAAAGTGACCTATGAATACACCACCACCTCCTCTGCTATTTATTAATCTTTTTCTCACCCTATAAACCCTTCCCACACACAACAGAGAAACCACTGCTGCGTATCTGATGCACACCCATGAGGGTACCAGTGCTCTGCTGGAGGCAGAACAGAAACTTGGATCCAAGTCTCCCTTCATTTACAAGATATTATTTGCCTGTTCCTGGGAGGCACTTTGGGCACATTTTACTGAGAAATTCTGTCCAAGACCCTCACATACCTTTTTCTAACCAGAAATTGTTTTTCTTTCCAAGCATTTTTTCTCCCAGCGCATCTGTCGTTTTGGACATTGTATCTTTGGTAGAGGCACATAAACCCCAACAAACATATAAATTAAAGGGCAAGCAATGCAGACATCATCAACAACAAAAGTCACCTTAAAACTATGCTGCAGGAGCTGGAACTCAGTCCCTGACTTAGGTGAGTGCCCTCCTTTCCCACTAGACTGATATAAGGAGGCAGAATACACCCATCTGATCCAGCTGACTGGAAATCCTGGTGGTGTTCAACCCAAAATCCCAAGATATGAAAAAACCCTACATGTTCAAGTTGAGAAGGGCACTGTTTCCAAAATAAAGGTTCTAATTTGTTCTCCTGATGAACCATTTCCATTACCCTCACACAAGATAGCAGCGCTGTCCCAGCAGGGATGTCCATCCTTCCAGGCAATAAATGGAGCATTTCTTCATGGAGATGTAAAAGATGAAGTAACCAACATTGCTCATTTTAAAGCAGAATCTATTTTTATTGAAGACAGGACAGTAAATGGATAAAATTCACAATAACCAGCATTAAAAAACATTGAACAAACCCTGCAGTCATATTTAAACTTGGCTCTACCTACTGGCCACTCACATTTCTACATACAAAATCTTGTCAGTCTTGCTCATTTTCAGGTTAAAGGATATTGACACCTGATACTAACAAAACACACCGTTTATTCACAACCTGGGGGACTTCTAGAGTTGCTAAGAAAGAAAAGCAAATCTTTATCCTTTTGTCCAACAGATTTGTAGCTGGGAGGAACTGAAATGCTGCACATTGGCACGGAAGGAGTCCTAACCCCCTCCTGAGATCGATGGGAGGATGGGCTCAGCCCAGCACCTCCAAAATTGTCATCATCCCATACCCGAGTCGCTGCAGTGCAAAAGCTATGCAAATAAATAAATAAATAACAGCAGCAGTCCCAGAGAGTAAAACATGTAAAACCCAAGACACAGTTAAATAACTTTACAACCTGTAACTCTTAAATACAACCTAAAGCATTTTAACCTAAGACCTCAGCCCATAGGGAACAGCCCCGCAAAATCTGAGCGCAGCAGAGTTTGGGAGTTTAAATTGTTTCGATGGACTAGTACGTAGCTCTACATACATTTTTGTGGGGAAGAGATCGACATCTTCAGCTAAAGAAGGCCTCCATCCCTCCATCCTCACACAGCCACTGAAACTGTGCCAGTACAGCTGTTCTGGGGTTGCAGTGTTATTTTGCCCTCCCCATCAGAGGTGAGATCAGTCCCCCAAAAAGTCATCCTGGCCAAGAGAGGGGCAGTGTGCCATGTCATGGGGATGAAGTCCTTTCAAGTACCATTGCTGCAGAATTCTGCTGCATTTAAACATGGCCTGAAGCCTGTACACAGCACAGATTCAGAAATGCACACAGTGAGTATCCTCACTGGTCTCGACAGGTTTACTCAAAAATGTGTGAAGCTGACCATTCATCACCAAGGTAACTGCAGGGTCAGGGCCTACGCAGAGCATCCACTTGCAAGGATTTTGGTACCCTCCTTACGTATTTTTGGGACTGAGGTCTTCCCTGTATCTCTGTTCGGCAAAACAGTTAAAAAAGGAGCACATTCTTACACTGTTCAAGTCAAGCACAAAGCACGTGCTGAGTCAAACCAGTAAAATAACCGATCAGAGACTGAAGAAATACAAAACAGCCCTGGAAATTAAGTGTTGTGCCAGCACATGGAGCAACACCAGCAGCCGAGGAGAATATTTCTCCATGTTTTGCAGGACTATTTTTTTCGAGTGTACTGTTTTGTTAATCAAGTGTAAAGACTACTGCATTGTTTCACAAAACTTAGAGCTTGGTTCAGAACAAGACGTATGCCTAGAGCTTTAATAAATACAATTAAGAATAATACACAGTTTAAATTATCTAGGTATAAACACCTCATTAAAAAATCCATTTTACTTTGTACATCTTAAAAAAAAAATCACAGAAACATCTGTTTTGAAAAGGAGACAGCTGTACAAAGAAATTATATATTTTGAAGACATTAAACTCTCTATTTGCTGGGTAACACTACTTACTGAAATGTTCTCTTACAACCTACCACCTCGGTGATTTTTCTTTTCTGATATAAACATACTTTGGCTCTGAATCTGAAACTCGGAGCCCGTTGAAATTAGCCACTTGAAAGATTTCTGGTTATTAAGGCTCTGATCTGGTGACGCCTCCCAGACCAGCACCGAAACCAGGGAGACGGCTGTGGCAGCAGGCACTGAAGCAGCTCATCTGCTCCATCCTGTGCTCCATCCTGTGCTGCTGAAATATGACGCCTCATGGCTCTCTGTCCCCCCAAGGAACCTCTCATTGCAACCCAGCCCAGCGGAGCAGCACAACACTTATGTGACATTTGCACAACCAGTTTATAATGCCCTGAAAAATCATTAGAGCCCTCACTGGAAATTCTGACTCATCATCTACTTTTTGTTGCTTAGGTCTCCTTTTTGCGCCATCCTAATTGAGACCTAACCATCCGTCCAGAGAGGCTGTGAAAACTGCTTACTGCAGCACCCCGCAACAGTAAATTCCATTTCATTACCTACCAAAAGGCTGGATGTTGTCCTTGGGATTAGAAGCATTACTGTAGTTAAAAACTAATAATGTGGCGAGGTTGTTATTGTCTGAGCAGCTTCAAAATACCAATAGCAGTGCATCTTAATAGCCAGCTGGTACTCTACTGTCCTCTATAAAGCCATGCCCTCAATGTGCGCAAGGTGACGTAAGAGATACACACTTTGCTCGCTGACACTGGGACATTTCACTGCTAGACTGTTATGATTTCAATGCTCTTCTGCTTTAGTTTTGACTTGTTTTTGGAAAACACACAGTTTGGAATTTTAATTAAAAACACCCTATCAAAAGAAACAAAAAGGCACTTGGTGTTTCTCTTTGGCTCAGTTGAGGCGCACTGCTGAAACCTTCCCAAAGTTCCTGTCTCTTCATCTGATGAGTAGTTGCCATCCTGAGGTACTTATTCATGTGCAAAAATAAGAGCTTCAGGGATTTGCCAGTTGCGTTTCTCACATTGCTTCTTCCAGTAAACATGCAAAGTTCTTCACCAAACAGAATCTTTTACATACAGAATCATTCCATTCCATGAAGGCTTTTTTTTCCATTTCCAATCACTGACACAGCCCTTATTCCAAATCTGGTCTTTTAGCTCAGTGCTCTTTGAACCTGGGAAAGAACAGCAACCAGGCAGGAAAAGTTGAGGTGTGAGGCATTAACAGCCACTAACTTCAAAATGCAAGGCCCATTCCTTGCCATGTGTTTTTCTATTCTCTGTCCATTTTACTTCTGCAAAACCAAGAGGGCAAGAGGCCCAATTTAGATTTTGCTTAGGCAGGTTGATTCAGTGAATTTCCCCCACTCCAATTCAAAACACTGTAAATTCAGAG